CAGCACTGGAACTACACCCACGGCACAGAGGCCTACAACACATCAGAGGACCTACCGCCACAGCACAGGGGCCTACACCCATAGCCCAGGGCCTACACCCACCCACAGCACAGAGGTCTACAGCTACATCACAGGGCCTACACCCACCAGACAGGGGCCTACACCCACTGTACAGAGGTCAACTCCCAGAGCACAGGGCCTACACCCACAGTATAGCTATCTACACCCACAGCACAGGCATCTACAGTCACTGCACAGGGGCCTACACCCACAGCACAGGTGCCTACAACACATCAGAGGGCTTACCCCGACAGGACAGGGGACTACACCCACAGTCCTGGGCCTACACCCACAGTAAAGGGGTCTACAGTCACAGAATGGGGGCCTACACCCCCAGCACAGGCATCTGCAGCCACAGCACCTGGCCTACACCCATGGCACAGGGGTCTACAGCCACAGCACAGAGCCTACACCCACAGCCCAGGGCCTACACACACCAGACAGTGGCCTACACCCGCAGCACAGGTGCCTACAACACATCACAGGGCCTACACCCACAGCACAGGGGTCTACACCCATAGCAATGGGGCATCCTTCACTTGGGGACTTATCTGAACACTGGGAGTCCCGTTCGGTGCTGGCAGGTCAGTTCAGGTAACTGTGCAGCTTGGCACCATGACCCGGGCGCCCCTGGAGGTCGGTTCTGAGCCGGGTAGGGCGCCGGACCCCTTGTGGCTCTTAGGGCACCCTCCTGAGTGCGGGGGCAGACGCCTGGAGGGGCTGCTCTGACGTCAGCTCAGGCTCTCACGGCCTGGGAGGCGGAAGTGACACACCGGGAGGTCCGGCCTGTGCTCACAGGGACCCAGAGTGGGCTTTTGGGGGGCTCTGCTCTGGTTTGGTGAGGAAACTGATGGGACGTGCTGGGGAGGTCTTGGCTGTGCCCAGGGGGAAGCTGGGCGGGCATACTGGGGAGGTCGGTCCTCAGGTTGGGCGGCTGAGCGGACCTGTTTGTGAGGTCCGTTCCGTGTTCTCTGGGAAGCTGAGTGGACAGACTGGGGATCCTCAGGAGGTCTTGCAGGGGCTGACCCGGTTGGTCAAGCCTGTGTGCCCGGGGAAACAAAACGGATGTATTGGGAAGGTCTGGCTGGTGCTGGGGCGGGGCTGCGTGGACACACTGGGGAGTCTGGTCAGTGCTCCTGGTGCCTGCCTCCCAGGATGCGGGCAGGCCTGCTGGGCATCGCGTGGGCACCTCCGCGCCCCTGTCCTGTGCCCTCTGCGGCGTGGGTCTCCGGGGCTGCCCTGGGTACTCTGGGGACCTCGAGAGCGTCTGTGACAGCCGTGCCCCACATGGGGCACCTGGAACACCTCGTACCTCCACACCCTGGCCTGCGGGCCGCCCCTGATGCCGGGCTCTGCCTCAGGGGGCCTCTCCGGGCATCGGGGGGAGCCATTTCATCAGGGGAGCCGTTTCCCCGTGCGGGACGCAGCCAGCACCCAGAGGAGACGAGTGTGGGGCGCAGGCGGGCAGCGGGGGTGATGACTCCGCGGGCTCCGTGCCTGTCTCGGAGTCTGCCTGGGTGTAGCCGGGCGAGCCCTCGGCCCCCGGAGCCAGTGCTGGGCAGGACGGCTGTGCCCAAGGCCGGCCCGCTCGGCTCTGGGAGCCTTCGGCTCTCGTACCCAGGGCCCACCCGGCTCCAGGGAGAGAGCGCGTGCCGGGGACATGCAGAAACGTCGGCGTCCTCAGAGGGGCCTAGTGTGCAGATGTGGGGGATGCGGGAGCCATCAGAGGTGGCCCCCAGACTGCAGACTGAGTGCTGCCCAGGCCATGGGCGTCTCGGGGGGACATCAGGGATACCGGGGCCTGTTCGCTGTTGCTTCTGGGGACGCTTCTGAGGTGAGCTCCTGGGCGGGGCCAGGAGGGGTGACGGGGGCCCAGGAGGGGGGCCCAGGAAGGGGGGTGGGAGGCCAGGAGGGGTGGCAGGGTCAGAATAGAGCATGTGATGTGTGTGTGGCCACCTCTGAGCAGCGGGCCGAGGCCCCTTGGCCGGGCAGACGGGCTCCCTGTGATAGGCAGAGACCCTGTAACGTTGCCCCAGCTGGAGACCTCCTGGACGAAGGGCCGTGAGGGGCTGGGGTGCAGGGGGTTCCCAGGGCGGTGAGCGCTGGGCGGCCAAGCTTCCGGGGTCTGGAGGTCCTGGAGGGCCCCCAGGTCCGGTCCCAGGGGGCAGCTTCTGGAGAAGGGGGGATCTGGTGCGTGTGGGGGGGGGGGGCCGCAGTCTGTCACACTGAGTTTTCCAGAAGTTTGGGCTGATCTGGGTGGAAGGTCACAGTGGGTGGCGGCGGTCGGAGTTCCGTGGACGGGCTTGATGGCACTGCAGGCCGGAAGGGCCAGAGCGTGTTGTGCGTGTGTGTGTGCATACCCTGGCCCAGTGTGTGTGTGTGTGTCTGGCCTGGAGTGTGTGTGTGTGTGTGTTTGTGTACCCCAGCCCAGGCTGTGTGTGTGTGTGATGCACCCAAGCCCGGGGTGTGTGTGTGTGTGTGTGTGCGTGTCTCAGCCTGAGGTGTGTGTGCACCCCAGCCTGGTGTGTGTGTGTGTACCACGGCCCGGGATATGTGTGTACATGTATGTGTGTCCCGGACTCGGGTGTGTGTGTACCCCAGCCCAGGGTGTGTGTGTTTGTACCCCAGCCTGGTGTGTGTACCATGGCCCAGAGTGTGTGTGTCTGTGTGTGTGTGCACCCCAGCCCAGGGTGTGTGTGTGTACCCCAGCCTGGTGTGTGTGTTGTGTCTGTGTGTTTGTGCACCCCAGACCAGGGTGTGTGTGTGTGCCCCATCCTGGGGTGTGTGTGTATGTGTGTGTCCTGGCCTGGGTGTGTGTGTGTGTACACCAGCCCAGGGTGTGTGTGTGTACCCCAGCCTGGTATGTGTACCCTGGCCCAGGGTGTGTGTGTGTCTGTGTGTGTGATGCACCCCAGCCCAGGGTGTGTGTGTGTGTGTGTGTGGTACACCCCAGTCCAGTGTGTGTGTGTGTACCACAGCCGGGGTGTGTGTATATGTTTGTGTGTGTCCTGGCCTGGTGTGTGTGTGCACCCCAGGCCGCGGTATTTGTGTGAGTACCACGACCCAAGGGTGTGTGTGTGTGTGTGTGTGTGTGTGTGTGTGTGTGGTGCACCCCAGCCCGGGCTGTGTGTACCACGGCCTGGGGGGTGTGTGTGTCCTGGCCTGGGGTGTGTGTGTGTGTAACTCAGCCCAGGGTGTGTGTGTGTACTCCAGCCCGGTGTGTGTACCACGGCCCAGGGTGTGTGTGTCTGTGTGTGTGATGCACCCCAGCCCGGGTTGTGTGTGTGTGTCCCAGCCTGGGGTGTGTGTGCACCCCAGTCCGGGGTGTGTGTGTATGTGTGTGTACCCCAGACCGGTGTGTGTGTGTGTACCTCAGCCTGGGGTGTGTGTGTACCCCAGTCCAGTGCGTGTGCACCCCAGCCCAGTGTGTGTGTGTACCACTGTGCAGTATGTGTGTGTCTGTGTTTGTGTACCCCAGCCCGAGGTGTGTGTGTGTGTGTGTCCCGGCCTGGGGTGTGTGTACACCCCAGCCCAGGGTATGCGTGTGTGTACCCCAGCCTGGGGTGTGTGTGTGTACCACGGCCTGGGGTGTGTGTGTGTGATGCACCCCAGCCCGGGGTGTGTATGTGTCCCGGTCTGGGGTGTGTGTGTGTGTGTTCCAGTCTGGGGTGTGTGTGTGTACCCCAGCCCAGGATGTGTGTGTGTGTGTGTGATGCACCCCAGCCCGGGATGTGTGTGTGTGTCCCAGCCTGGGGTGTGTGTGCACCCCAGTCTGGGGTGTGTGTGTATGTGTGTGTACCCCAGCCCGGTGTGTGTGTGTACCCCAGTCTGGGGTGTGTGTGTACCCCAGTCCAGTGTGTGTACACCCCAGCCTAGTGTGTGTGTGTACCACTGTGCGGTGTGTGTCTGTGTTTGTGTACCCCAGCCCGGGGTGTGTGTGTGTGTGTCCCGGCCTGGGGTGTGTGTACACCCCAGCCCAGGGTATGCGTGTGTGTACCCCAGCCTGGGGGGTGTGTGTGTACCACGGCCTGGGGTGTGTGTGTGTGATGCACCCCAGCCCGGGGTGTGTATGTGTCCCGGTCTGGGGTGTGTGTGTGTGTGTCCTGGTCTGGGATGTGTGTGTGTGTTCCAGTCTGGGGTGTGTGTGTGTACCCCAGCCCAGGTTGTGTGTGTGATGCACCCCAGCCCGGGATGTGTGTGTGTGTGTCCCAGCCTGGGGTGTGTGTGCACCCCAGTCTGGGGTGTGTGTGTATGTGTGTGTACCCCAGCCCGGTGTGTGTGTACCCCAGTCTGGGGTGTGTGTGTACCCCAGTCCAGTGCGTGTGCACCCCAGCCCAGTGTGTGTGTGTACCACTGTGCGGTATGTGTGTGTCTGTGTTTGTGTACCCCAGCCCGAGGTGTGTGTGTGTGTGTGTCCCGGCCTGGGGTGTGTGTACACCCCAGCCCAGGGTATGCGTGTGTGTACCCCAGCCTGGGGTGTGTGTGTGTACCCCAGCCCGGGGTGTGTGTGTGTGTGTGTGTCCCAGCCTGGGGTGTGTGCATACCCCAGCCCAGGGTATGCGTGTGTGTACCCCAGCCTGGGGTGTGTGTGTGTGTACCATGGCCTGGGGGTGTGTGTGTGCACCCCAGCCCTGGGGTGTGTGTCTGTGTCGGGGGCACCCCGCCCTGTGTGCGCCGGCCCCCTTGAGCTCTGGCTGGGTCTGGGGGCGAAGGGGGCCGCGGCGCGCTCGCGCGTGGGGGCCGCTCTGCAGAGGCGGGGGTCTCTGGAGGGGCCACCCTGCCCGCAGGCTCTCCCACGCGGCCAGGGGGCGTGGGCGCGAGCGGCGGGCGGGGCCTCGGCGGGGCCCGGGCGGGGGTCGGGGTCGGGGTCGGGCGCGGCGCGGCCTCCGGGCGGCAGGGGGCGCGCGCGGGCGCCTCCCGGCCGGAAGTGACGTGGCCCGCCCGCGGCCCGGAAGCGGCGATGGCGCGGAACGTGCTGTGAGTGGGGGCGGGGCGCGACCCCCGGCGCGGGCGGGGGGGGGGCGGGGGTCCGGGCCCGCTGACGCGCCCCTCCCGCAGGTACCCCCTGTACCAGCTGGGCGGCCCCCAGCTGCGCGTGTTCCGCACCAACTTCTTCGTCCGGCTGGTCCGGCCCGGCCAGGCCCAGCCCGAGGACACCGTGCAGTTCCGGATCCCGCTGGAGTGAGCGGGCGGCGCCCCCCGGGACCCCGGGGCTGACCCCCGCCCGCAGGAGCCCCCCCCCGTGCAGGGCTGACCCCCGCCCGCAGGACCCCGGGGCTGACCCCCCCCCCCGCAGGACACCCCAGGGTTGTCCCCGCCTGCAGGACCACTGGGCTGTCCCCCACCCGCAGGACACCCCCCCCCCGTGCAGGGCTGACCCCTGCCCGCAGGACCCTGGGGCTGTCCCCCACCCCCAGGACACCCCAGGACTATCCCCAACCCACAGGGCTGACCCCCTCCAGCAGGCCCCCGTGCAGGGCTGACCCCCACCCACAGGACACCCCAGGGTTGTCCCCACCAGCAGGACCTCAGGGCTCTCCCCAGGGCCCCAGGGCTGTCCCCCACCCCCGGGTCCCCCAAGACCTCCCCAGGCTGCCCTAGACTCGCGCTGGACCCCCGTGGGCCTCCAGGACTTGGCCTGGGGTCAGGCACAGGCCGGGCGGGGCACACCCGGGGCCCGGGTCTCTCGGCACCTGGCCAGGAAGGACGCAGGCCCCGCTGTCCTTCCCCCGGACACCCGGCGCTGCCCATCCGGGATGCAGGCCCCCCGCGGGGCCTGCTGAGCCCTCTCACCCCCCTCCCCGACAGGATGACGCGCGTGGACCTCCGGAACTATCTGGAGCGGATCTACGACGTGCCGGTGGCTGCCGTGCGGACCAGGGTGCAGCACGGTGCGTGCGGGTGCCGGCCTTGAGTGCCACCCCACAGTGCTCCTGCCTCCAGCCTGCCCGAGGGGCCTGTGGGGGAGGACACGCAGTGCACGGGCACACACGGGACACACAGACACACACACACACACACACACGCAGGGGCCGCTCGGGACCATCCGTGCGGGGCGGGTGGGTCCCACGGGCGCGGCTCGGGGCCGGCGGTCAGGCCTGTCCCCCTCTCGCAGGCTCGGGCCGGAAGCGGGACCACAGGAACGTCCGGGTGAAGAAACCCGACTATAAGGTGGCTTATGTGCAGCTGGTGAGTGTGCGGGACCCGGCCGCCCCGGGGTCCTCGCAGGCTGGCCCCCCGCCCGGCACCTTGGGCCTCCTTGGGGCCCTGCCTCGAGGCTCCCCAGACAAAGGTGCCCTCTGCCCCGCGGGGCCGGCGGTCCCGGGACCCGCTAGGTGGCAGTAGCGCCGTGGGGACCGCGGCTCTGGCCACCCGAGCGGCCGTGCTGGCCGTTTGGGCGGGGGTCAGTTTGACTGGTGTCGGCTGTGCGTGAAATCGCCGGGCCTGGCGGAGCGGGGCCTGTGCGAGGCGACCATCCGTCTCGGTCACGGCACGCGGTGGGCTCGGTCCCACCAGGGCCCAGGGCCGGCCCTGAAGGCCAGTGGGGGCCCGGCCTGAACTCGGCAGGCTGCCCCCACCCCAGCCCCGACCCCGACTCTTCCCCGCAGCCCCGAGCGCGGCCCGGACCCCCATCCACTCTGATCTGTGCCCCCGCGAGCCCCCGTTTTCTCGGGGTTCGCTGCTGGGCGCCCCAGCCCTCCCCGGCCCCAACGCCTTCAGCTCTGGCCTGGGGGAGGGTGCCGGGGGGTCCCAGCAGACCCCAGCCCGGCTCCCCCAAGTCTGGCGGGGAGGCAGGCGCCCCCGCCCCCGCTGGCCCGCTCCTCCGGCTACGTGCAGGGCGTGCTGGGCCTGGGGCGCTCCTCCCGGCCGCACCACGCCCGCATTCCCGGCCTTCCCGCCGGGCACTTGGCTGCGAGCCACGGCCAGACTCCCCCAGCCGTCCCGCCCGCCCGCGGGGCCCCCTCCCCGCCACGTAGGCCCCCCGAACCCCGGCGGCCCCCCTTCCCGCCCAGACCCCAGCCCGCGTGCTCGGGGGGCCGAGGGCGGACTTGGCCGGCACCCACATTCTGAACTTTCAGCGGGAGACCTGAAAGCGTTTGGTGTGCAGAGCCGGCCTTGATTTATGGGGTGCCGCGTCTGCGCACGCCTTCCTGCCGGCCGCCTGTGCGCGCCGCTTGCCAACGCGGGCGGCTTTCATGTGGGCTGGGCCGGGAGGTGTTGGGGATGGGGGCCCCGGCGCCGCCGCTCGAGGGGTGCCTGGCCCGCCTCTGTGTCTGCAGGCCCACGGGCAGACCTTCTCCTTCCCCGACCTGTTCCCGGAGAAAGCGCCCGGCGCCCCCGGCGACGACCCCCAGGCCCAGCTCCTCGAGGAGCAGAAGCAGAAGCTGCAGCGAGACCCCCGGCGGGGCGGGGTCCCCACGTGGTTCGGCCTGTGACTCGGCGGCGCCCCGCGGACCCCCAGTGCAATAAAGGATCTGGTGCCCCGCGTCCCGTGTCCTCTTTCCCGACACCCCTGCGCCCCCCGGGGGGCTGCCCTGTGCTTGGGCCTCCCCCCACTGCCCCGCCAGCCGCAGGAGGGGAGGCCGCTGGCCTGGACCCCGGTGCTGTCCGGCATCTGAACACACCAGAAGTGACTCTTGAGCATGGAGCCGGGAGTCGGCCCCAAGGAGTCGGTCCCAAGCAGTGGTGTGACCTCTGACCCAAAGAACAAGGCTCCAGGCTCCTGCCCCCGGGGGGGAGGGAGCCCCGGCCTGACTGGGGTCCTGAGCGGGCTGGGCTGCGGGCCGGGACGTGGTGTGGGGTGACTTCGAGCTGGGCGGGATCGGGGTCAGGGGCCTGGCCGACCCGGGGTGGGGGCGCTCAGACCCCGGGGGCTGCCCCTGACTGGGGGCGTCCGTGCCATCGGCCGACCCTGCTCCCCACACCTCCTCCTCTCCCCCTTTGCCCCAGAAACGGAGTCGGGAGCCCCCCGGGGTCCCCGCCCGAGGGCTTGAGGAAGAAAGTGCTGCCTCGCCCCCAGATCCAGGCGGGAGAGGGTCCGCCGTCGGGGCTGGCACGGCCCGCGCCCCCAGCGCCGAGAGGGGCCCCTGCATTCCAGGGCTGCTCCCCCCCGGACGGCCTCCCGCCCAGGGCCGGCCCCGAGGGCGCTGCTGACTCCACAGCTCCAGAGCTGCCACGTTGCAGGGCGGGCGGGCGGGAGGGAGGGGGCGGCCCGCGGGACACATCCCAGACCCCGCAGATGCAGGTGAGGCGGCCGGGCCGCGGGCCAGAGCGGAAACCCATCTGGCATCTGCTTTTCCTCTGCGGGGCCCGCGCTCCCCGGGGCGCCGGTCGGGGGAGGGGAGGCCCCCCACAGCAGTCAGCACAAAGGAACCCACCCGGGGGCTCTGCGCGGCCCAGCCGGGGTCCCCCACTCCCCACTCCATGAATCAAGCGGGGGGAGCGAGCCCGCCAGGGCGACAGGCTGTGAGCCTGTGAGTGTGTGTGAGAGATTTCGTGTGTGAGAGGCCGAGGGGAGTGTGTGTGGGAGAGACAGAGATGGTGTGCGAGATTGGGAGAGACTGTGTGAGAGACTGAGATTGGGAGAGACTGTGAGAGAGACTGAAGGCCGAGGGGAGTGTGTGTGTGAGGCTGCGTGTGTGGGAGAGACTGAGAGATGGTGTGTGAGATTGGGAGAGACTGTGAGATTGTGAGAGACTGTGTGAGAGAGACTGAAGGCCGAGTGGAGTGTGTGTGTGAGGCTGTGTGTGTGGGAGAGACTGAGAGATGGTGTGTGAGATTGTGAGAAACTGTGTGAGAGAGAGACTGAAGGCCGAGTGGAGTGTGTGTGTGAGGCTGCGTGTGTGGGAGAGACTGAGAGATGGTGTGTGAGATTGTGAGAGACTGTGAGATTGTGAGAGACTGTGTGAGAGAGACTGAAGGCCGAGTGGAGTGTGTGTGTGAGGCTGCGTGTGTCGGAGAGACTGAGAGATGGTGTGTGAGATTGTGAGAGACTGTGTGAGAGAGAGACTGAAGGCCGAGTGGAGTGTGTGTGGGAGACTGCATGTGTGGGAGAGACTGAGAGATGGAGTGTGAGATTGTGAGAGACTGTGTGTGAGAGGCTGTGTGAGCAAGACTGAGAGATTGTGTGTGAAATTGTGAGAGGCTGTGTGAGAGACTGAAGGCCAAGTGGAGTGTGTGGGAGAGACTGTGAGAGGTGGTGTGTGTGAGATTGTGAGAGACTGTGTGTGAGAGAGGCTGAGAGATTTAGTGTGTGTGAGAGGCCGAGTGGAGTGTGTGTGTGAGACTGTGAGACTGTGTGTGAGACTGAAAGATTCATTGTGTGTGAGAGACCGTGAGATTGTGAGAGACTGAGATTGTGAGAGAGACTGAAGGCTGAGTGGAGTGTGTGTGTGTGTGTGTGTGTGAGACTGAGTGTGTGGGAGAGACTGTGAGAGATGGTGTGTGAGGTTGTGAGAGACTGAGAGAGACTGAGAGATTTAGTGTGTGTGAAAGGCCAAGTGGAGTGTGTGTGTGAGACTGTGAGAGACTGTGTGAGACTGAAAGATTCATTGTGTGTGAGAGACTGTGAGATTGTGAGAGAGACTGAAGGCTGAGTGGAGTATGTGTGTGTGTGTGTGAGACTGAGTGTGTGGGAGAGACTGTGAGAGATGGTGTGTGAGGTTGTGAGAGACCGTGTGTGAGAGAGGCTGAGAGATTTAGTGTGTGTGAGAGGCCGAGGGGAGTGTGTGTGTGTGAGACTGTGAGTATATGTGAGAGACAGTTTGAGAGATTTAGTGTGTGTGAGACTGAGAGACTGTGAGGGTTTGTATGTGAGAAACGGAGACACTGAGAGATTTAGTGTGTGTGTGTGATTGAGAGACTGAGTGTGTGTGACCGTGAGAGACTGTGTGAGACAGAGATTTGAGTGTGTGGGAGAGAGTGAGAGCGTGTGTGTGACTAAAGGACTGTGTGTGTGAGACTGTGTGAGAGACAGAGACTTTGTGTGAGATTGAGAGGCTGAGTGTGTGTGAGGGATTGTGTGAGACCGAGTGTCTGTGAGAAACAGGCCGCGTGTGTGAGGCTGGGCGTGTGTCTTCGCTCGAGTGTGTGTGTGACCGGGTGTGGGAGGGTGAGACTGAGGCTGAGTGGGCTGTGTGTGTGAGGGTGATTTGTGAGTGTGAAACTGTGAGGGCGAAGCCAGTGGGGGGCCAGGGTCCTCCAGCCCTGAGCGAGCGAGCGGGGCAACGGGGGGCGCCAAGATGAGGCCCGCGCTCCCCACACGGGAAGGGCAGGACCCGTCCCCGTCCCCGGGCGTCTGCCCTGGGCGTCCCCTTCCCCCGACCCTCGAACCCGCCCTGGCCGCCGCGGTGGCCTGTGTCCAGGAGGGGGGCCGCGCCGCGGGCTGAGGTCTGGCCCGGTGGGGGTGTCGGCCCACCCAGCGCCCTGGGAACCCCGGAGGCGCCGGCCGGCCTCCCAGCCTTTCCCAATCAGGCCACATGGCCCCTGCGGCCCCCGGGAGAGCGGAGGGGCCCGCGGGGAGAAGCACATGAGAGGAGCCGGGATTAAGCGGGGCCGGAAAAGGGTTGGGAAACGCGGCAGGCGCCTGGGACGCGCAGGACCCGCGGATTTGCTGTCCCTGCAAAGTCCTTGTGACGAGGGTGGCGGCCCATGTGACCACCCCCCACCGCTGGGAGCCTGGCCCCCCGGGCCGCCGGAGCCGCTGGGGGGGCCCCTGCCCTTTGCCCCCCGGCGCTCCGGCCGGCGGCTGGGCCCCCCAGCCCGGCCTGGACCTTGATCCCCCAAGAGCCTCCGCGCCTGGGCCCCAGGGACCGGAGCGGGGGCCTTTCTAGGAATCTCGCGGCCCTGCCCGCCCCTCCCCCTGCCCGCGGGGGTCAGAGGCCAGGCCGCTGGTGTTGGGGCCGGGTGGGCCCCGCCCGCCCCGAGCAGGCCGGGACCTGGCTAACATCTGCGGCTGCTCCTGACGGAGCCCATCCACCGCCAATCCCCCCAAATCACTTCATTATTTCTCTGTAAATAGGGCTTTTCCTAGTCAAAATAATCAGCATTTTTTTGGTCGCTCCCACATCTGGCTTTGATTGGCCCCAGCCCCCTCCCGCTCTCCCACCCCATGCTGGAGGCCCCAGCCCCAGGCCCTGCGGGGCGGGAGGGGCCCCTGCGGCTCTCTGCAACCCCCACTTCGGCTCCCTCACTCCGGCCTGCCCGCGCGCCTGCAGTGGGGGTGCAGCCCCGTGGGCCCCCCACCTTCTCCGGGGCTCTGCTGGGTTTGGGGGTGACTGGCCCGCGGCGACTGCACGCAGGGGTGTCGGGGTCACAGCCTTGGGAGGCGCTGGCACCTCCTGGAGGGCGGGGGGCCCCCACCCCCACCTCCCCACAGGGCCGGGAGCTGCCCACGGCCCGAGTGTTTGGAATTCCAGGGCCCAACAGCTGGATGACCCTCGCCGGGACCCGGAGAATCCCCATAAAACCCGTGTCAGCCCCCGACAGGGCCGGCTCTGCTTTGTGGCCCAATAAACCGGGGGCCGCGGCGAGTGCGTGCGGGAGGGCGGGAGGGCGGACGGGGCGTCCAGCTACAGGGGCTGGCCGGGCCCACAGTTGCAGCTCAGCTGCCCCTGACACCCCCCCAGGCTCCAGCCGCTGCAGAAAGAGTGGGGTGTCTGTCCCCGAGGGTCAGGGCCGGGGGTGTCCGGCCACGGTCTCCCCCAACAGGGGGAAGTTCTCTCGTACCCCGATTCGGACCAGCCCGGCTGAGCACCCTGGGCCCGGCAGGCCCGCATGACTCCCCCAGCGTGGTCAGCCAGGACAGAGGTGGTGGGGTGGCCGTGAGGGGGCCCACAGGGGTCCTGGAGCTCGTCCAGTGGGGGGACAGGGACGGCAGCCCCCGGGTCCCGGGGGCGCCCACAGAGCAGCGTGGGCAGTGGGGGGCCGGGCGCCTCCCGCTCCCTCTGCGTCCCCGCCTGCGGCCACGGTGTGGCAGGCTGTGTCCAGGAGTCGGCTGGGGCGGCGCTGCAGGCAGCGCCACGTGGCAGGTCCACAGCCGGGGTCGGCCCGCCAGAACCCCCTGCAGGGCCCCTCCCTTGGTGTGGACCCCGAGGGGGGCTCTGGGCGACCCTTGGCCCCGCAGCCTGCTGGCAGTGGCTGGAGTGAGTCCCCCGCGGCCTGGGGACCCCTGGCCAAAAGGCACTGGGTGTGGGGCTGCCGCCCTGTCTCTATGTACTCCTGCCCCCCGACACTGTGGTCTCGGGGTCCCCCCAGGCCCCCACGTGATGTGGCCAAGCAGGCCTGTTGCTACGGCTCTTCCTGCGTGCAGGAAGCAACCCCCCAGTTCCCGACACTCAGCTCCCCCAGACTCGCCCCCTCCGAGCAGAGGAGCTGGGGTCCCTCCGCCCCCTGGCCCGGGCACCCAGGAGGGAGCCCCCCTTCTGGAAGGGTCTCCTAAAAATAAAACCGCCCGGCCCCGCAGGGGATCAGAGCAGCTG